TACATACATACATACATACATACATACATACATATATACATACATATACATACATACATACATACATACATACATACATACAACCATACATACATACATACATACAAACATACAGGCATACCTACATACATACATACATACATGCATACATGCATACATGCATACATGCATGCATGCATGCATGCATACATACATAGATGGATAGAAAGATCGATAGATACATACATACATACATACATACATACATACATACATACATACATACATACAAACATACAGGCATACCTACATACATACATACATGCATACATGCATACATGCATACATGCATGCATGCATGCATGCATACATACATAGATGGATAGAAAGATCGATAGATACATACATACATACATACATACAACCATACATACATACATACATACATACATACAAACATACAGGCATACCTACATACATACATACATGCATACATGCATACATGCATACATGCATGCATGCATGCATGCATGCATGCATGCATGCATGCATGCATACATACATAGATAGATAGAAAGATAGATAGATACATACATACATACATACATACATACATACAAACATACAGGCATACCTACATACATACATACATACATGCATATGCATGCATGCATGCATACATACATAGATAGATAGAAAGATAGATAGATACATACATACATACATACATACAACCCATACATACATACATACATACAAACATACAGGCATACCTACATACATACATACATACATGCATACATGCATACATGCATACATGCATGCATGCATGCATGCATGCATACATACATAGATAGATAGAAAGATAGATAGATACATACATACATACATACATACATACAAACATACAGGCATACATACATACATACATACATGCATACATGCATACATGCATACATGCATGCATGCATGCATGCATGCATACATAGATAGATAGAAAGATAGATAGATACATACATACATACATACATACAAACATACATACATACATACATACATACAAACATACAGGCATACATACATACATACATGCATTACATACATACATACATGCATACATGCATACATGCATGCATGCATGCATGCATGCATACATACATAGATAGATAGAAAGAAGATAGATAGATACATACATACATACATACATACATACAAACATACAGGCATACCTACATACATACATACATGCATACATGCATACATGCATACATGCATGCATGCATGCATGCATGCATACATAGATAGATAGAAAGATAGATAGATACATACATACATACATACATACAAACATACAGGCATACCTACATACATACAAGCATACAGGCATACCTACATACATACATGCATGCATACATACATACATACATGCATACATGCATACATGCATGCATGCATGCATGCATGCATACATACATAGATAGATAGAAAGATAGATAGATAGATACATACATACATACATACATACAAACATACAGGCATACCTACATACATACAAACATACAGGCATACCTACATACATACATACATGCATACATACATACATACATACATACATGCATACATGCATGCATACATACATACATAGATAGATAGATAGAAAGATAGAAAGAAAAATAGATGCATACATACATACATAGACACACACACACACGGGTTTGCATTTGTGTCCCTGTAGTTGTTTGTGGTTAGCTGGCCATCTTAGAATAAGGTGCCATCCTTGTGCTCTACCTCCGGCGTCGCAAGTTCGGGGGGGAGCTGGGCGGTCCTCGCCGCTGGCAGTACGCAGCTTGTCCTTCCGAGCTGTGGAAACCTCTGGGAGGTCCAATGGTTGACTTCCATTTGCTGAAAAAATGTTTTTCCCTGGTGGGTTTAAAGGGAATCTATCACTGCTAAATGCTTTTCCAGGGGGCTTAAGCAAATGGAAGGTGAGGGAGCCCCGTTTGGTGCCCTGAAGGGTAAGCAGAGGCTGATGGAAGAAGTGCAACAACTGCGGTTGCATTCGCAAGATGTCAGGCGACTCCGAAGAATGTCATCAAATTGTATGCCGAAGGGCTGGTAGGAATACAACAGCGCTGGAAGAAACAACGCAGCACCACCACCCCTGCTACCCTGAGTTCCTGACAGGCTATCCAAAGCCGCAATATGAAGTTCGCCAAACTTGGTCCCCCTGCGCAAAGTTGAGTTGGTGCTACGCCCCCTTCGAAACAGAAGGAAGAACGACGCACACCGCCCTTGACATGGCAAAAATCCCCGTACCAAAGGTCCCTGTGGCTACTTTGTCACCTTTTGTCATGGACGCACAGAAAAGCAACCCCTGAAAGGCCCAACTCTACTTCCCAGGCCCCTTCGTGCGATTTGATCCGTACACAGTTTGGTGTGTCGCAAGTAGGACTTGGACCACCCCAAAAAATGGCCGGTGTTTGTTCTAAGAACTTTTCAGAGGGGGATGCGACATTGGGCTTCCCTAAGAACAAACAAGAAAACAAGCGGAGCGTGGGTTGCTTTAGAGTGGCTCCTGAGATCGCTTCGCGGAAGCTGAGGCAAGCGCAGCATTTCTGGTATTCCAGTGGTGCGTGTATATCGGCGCTTCATCTATTTGGGCCTCCGTCCAGACATGAGCCGCCTGACTGCGCATACTCCACGGGAATCTTGACGCGCGCGCGTGTGTCGCCTGGTGTGTGTGTGTGTGTGAAGTCTTAGTTGTGCTAATTCATTGCCCGTTGTATTTCGGTTCTGGCACTTCAGCTAAGGAGCGCGACCCTTGGCGCAACCAGATTGTGATTTAATGCGCGGGCAGCAACGATAGAGACTCGAGAATGCGGGGCCGATGGGCCCGACACATCGATGTCTCATTGAAGTTGAGGGGCTTCACGTTCTAAAAGAATCATTTTTCCACATATTTGCTGAAACTAAAGGGCTCGACCATGTGCATGCAGTGCACGATTGCACAACAAAGGTAGATATAGCTATATATACACAATATATATATATGTATATATATATATATGTGTAGATGAACACATTTATGGATGTACATGCACACAAACCTTTCACATATTGCTTTTCATAGGGGCATTCTATGTGAGGCTTTACGGTTCTCCCAATTTTGAACCGGTTTTGCCCCGTTCCAGAAATTTATCAAATATCCCCACTGATTGTTGGCGACCAACCCAGTCCGCCCCGCGTTCCTGGTGCGGCGTGGGAAATTCGCTCGAGCGATCGATCGCTCGGCGTTGTAACCTGATTCCTGCTTTCACTCCTGTCCGGCTCGCGGAGGAAACAGAGATGGCGTGCCTTGTTTTGGCTATTGCTTTTCCCTTGACAATCCCGGCTAGGCCAGACGTTTGGCTCAGAAATGTGCTTTCTCAGGCAGCCATTCTTATTGCCTCCGCCGGCTTACTCATTGCACCGAGCCCAAGAATTGGCAAAACCGACTTTATGGCCTTTGGCCAGGCGAAGATCCGGAGTGACTTTGCCCCCGCATCATGTACGTGTTTGCTTCCGCAAAGTTATCTGGCCCGTACGACCTGCCAAATGTTTCTCATTGAGGCGGCCCCTCTCTCGCTGGATGGCCAAGGAACTCCATCCGCATGGGAAGCCCAGGGATTGAGCCATTTGGGGGGGTTCTTTTTCTTTGGGGCATCGCCCAAAGGGCCAAGCAGAACAGCTGCGGCCCTTCTGGAAGGAAAACGACATCGGCGCCGTGTGGCGCCAGAGAGACGACACGAAAACCGCACGGGCGATGCGCTGGGCGGCTTGTGCGTTGGCGGCTTGTGCTGCATCCCCCACGTGTAACTTCTCTTCGCAAGTCCATGTCGGTTTCCGAAATGTCCCATTTTCGCCGTTCACACGTTCACATCTCGAAACGAGCAGTTGCACACCTTGGAGAACGGATTGCCAACTTGCCGCCATTCAGTTCACGCCTGCCTCAGGGTCAAAAGCGCTTCATGCCCCGTTTTTGGTAGAGAAGCAAAAAGCCTAGGCCGCCCTTGGTGTGGACACGTATCCCCGCATTTCTTCACATGTTTCCAGAATTGCTTGTACAGGCCCCTTTTACATAGCCCTTGGACAAATGAACCCAAAAGGCCTGCTGATGTTCATACCCCTCTCTCCAAAAGGGTTTATGCCCCTTGTAAAGTGGGTTGGAAACCACGGAAGCCAAGGGGTGTGAAAAAGGGGTATGTACTTCCACCCTTAGAATATTGCCTCTTGAAAAGGCCAGCAGCTGTGCACTTCCACATGATTTTTGTGGTTTAAAGGTCCACCCGAATCCATGTGCAAGAGGGCACCCTATGGCAAGGAGACTGCCAAGAAAAAACCTCACACCCTCAAACACGCCTGTGGAAAGACCAAACTGGATCAATATGGGAGGTTTGCGGGGGTGTGCTAGGAGAAGCTTTACTGGGTCCCAGCTTCTTTCCCTTTGAACCATTTGGATAACAATCAAGAGACCCCCAAGAAACAGTGACCCCCCGAAAACAGAGTCAACCAATGTCCCATTTTTAGGACAATAAATTTGGGTAAATCAGCAGGCCCTATAAATAATGTGCACCAGTTTGAAAAAACCATGGTTGAAACCATTGTTTGTTGGTATTTACAGGGGAACCGAATCAGAAACCAGGGTTTCTCGGATGGTGCGAAATGGATTTCCGCAGCCGTCCACAGTACCCTCTCACCGACTAACATGCACAGTGTCGAAAGACTGCTTCCATGTTAGTTGAAGCGAGGGTAGTGTCCCCCTCCCCAAATATGGTGGTGTCTCCTTTGCGTTGTGCCTCTCAAGCCCCCAATTAGGCGAGAATTACCCTCAAAAACGACCCCCAAAAACCGTCGAACTGGCTCGCCTTTTTTGGACCGGAGGCCCTGAAAAACGACCCCAGGAGTCGAATTGGCTCACCTTTTTTGGAGCAACGGAGGCGGAGAGGCGCATCAAACGGCCCCGCGACGAACGAAGTGCCGAGGAGCGCACCACACTGCCGCGCCTGGCCAAGTCTGCGCCGCCCCGCGGGGTGCAGGCGTGGGCCGAGGGCCCAGGGGGTTTAGTTGGGCTCGGATTGTTTCTTTTTTTTCTTCCCCCTGTTTTTTTTTTTTTTTTGGGGGGGGGGGCTTAAAAAAACAAACACAAAATTCAACAATTAGTAATATATTTTCTTTGGGGGGCGGGGGGGGAGAGGACGCCCTCCGGTGGAGAAGGGAGAGCGCGAGAAATCTCCAGGTGGAGAGGCGGTACAACCTGAAGCCCTCTGAGTCGGAGCTGATGCGCCTGCTGGTGCCATGGTCGGTTCGCGGCGTGAGGATGGGGCGTAGCGGCGTAGGGGTTCCCCACCGGGGTCATTGTTTCGATGGTTTCCAGGGTTGTCACTTTCAGAAAACGGGGTTGTTTTTCCCTTCAGGGGCTGACTTCGATCATGGTTAAAAAAAAAGGCCAGCGTGATATTTTTCCATTTTCGCCTGCTGGCGGACTGGGGGTATGGTTGCTGGGGAGTCCTCCCGGACGAGATATTCTTGCATGGCTTGGGGTTCCGAAAAGTGAATGTTCAGGGCTTCTCAAAAGGACTTGGCGTCCCAGTTTCCCTGTCAACCATTCAGCTGCAATTTTGAGGTCGTCACTTTAAAGCTACCAGCCACTGTAAACGTTTCCGCAACTTGCCGGTGCTCGGTACGGAATGATGGTTCCTTGAAAGGAGGCCTACCAACATGGCTTGTCAGGCCTATCTCACCAGCAAGCTAACCCTCCTTGACTGCTATTGGGTTGGATCTTTCACTTTTTTTGGAAATCAAGGGGTTTTCTACTAAACCCCAACAAGTTAAACTTGTTGCAGGGGGGTCAACAGCAACCAAGGGATGATCTGACCCAGGGGTTTGTTTGCCATCGAGTCAAAGGAGACTTTCAGGTGGTCCGGGAGAGCGCCACGAGCCGGGTGCTGTGTCGCTTTCTCTCGGAGCACAGCGACACCAACTCGGCGCTCTACAGCCTTTGCCGCAGCGCCTGGCCGAAACACACTGCTTCACGAGTGGGAGTTTCGCGGTTCGCCCTGTGCTTGGCATTCGTTTGTTTATTTATTTGGATTTGGTTCTGTTCATTTTTACCCAGGGGGGTTGGCTTCAACAAATGGCATGTTTTTGTTTTTTGTTGGTTTCTTTTTATTCTGTTCACTTTTACCGGGGTGCTGCGGGGAAAACAAACAAAAAAAATCAACGATTTTTGCTACCATGCCAAGAGTTGTTGAGTGCCTGTTCCACCTCCCCCAACAAAAAAAGAAGAAACGAAACATGACGTTGACCCCATATGAATTTCAACCAACTGTTTATTAGTAGGGGGTGGCTTTGGCCCCTCCAAAAGTGGTCGGATTCTCCACAAAGGCCAGGGACACCCCCCTATTAATAAGCAGGGGTCTGGTATCCCCAACAGCCCGCGGAACTTTCCGGAACCCTCCCTGAAAAATGCCCCAAACCACACCAGGGCCTATCTGGGCAGCCATCCGCTGTTGGGGAAACAGAAGGTTCCGCCAAAGCCAAAAGCACCCATCCACCAGTGTGAAGTATGGGCAAATCGTGGCATTGCCGCAATTTTTTCCACGAAGAAAGCCTAAGGGGGTTTCCCTAGTAGACGCACCATGGCGAATCAACTTGGCGTAGCGCCCGAGCTTTCTGTTTGAAACACCAACTCACTTCCTGAGTTCCTGCGCTTCTCATACTTTTTCGGAAGATCATTTCAATGTGAGCCACAATCAAAACCCGGGTGGAAGGTTAGAAAGGGATCGCCCCAACCAATGGGTGAAGCAGCCTTTTCAGTTCTTTGCATGGTTCAGGAGAATTAGGCCAGTTACCAGGTTTTGATTATAATGTTATCTTCAGATTAACCACAAGGACTGCTAGACAAAGGTCCCTTCGGACTACTCTCCGAAGCCAGTTGAAACGCACAGTTTGGGGAACCCGCACAGTTTAACAGGGGAACCAACCATTTGAGTCCCCAAGTTTGAAGCAACTCTGGTTGGCGTTGCAAAAAAATATTCACCAAAAGGGAGGAGACTCCCGACAACAAAGAGGGATCACACATTTATATATTTATATATTATGTATGTGTGTGTGATTTTTAGGGAGGGGTCCTTTGGTGGTCGAGGTGGGGGATTCATGTCCACCAATCACCGAGGTGGTTCCCTCAGATTCACAAGCCATATGGACAAGTGTCCTTCGTTCTTCAGGGTCCCAAGGCAACATGTGGGACATGCGAATCGTGCGAACAGCTGGCTTAGAGGTCCCCCCCCAAAAAAAAAGAACACAAAACACGAAGAAACACACAAAAACAACCATGGAAGCACATTTGTTTGACAGGAACGTTGCAGATCTGGGACTGACGTTTTTTTTGGTGGCTGTCGCACGGTTTGTTTTCATACCCGTTACGGTCCGACGAACTTGGCCGAGGCTCCAGGCTTGACGTGCAGGATGGGACTGGGGTGGGGGAGTTCGAGGGCGAATCCGAAACCACGGGTTGCAATCGCAAGCTGAGCTGAGAACCTTTGGTCAGATAAGCACGGCGCGTGGGTCATATTTTTTTGGGGGGGAGGGTTTCCCACAATACTGCGGATGGTTGCGGAATCCATTTCGCTCCACTTTGCAACCATGGTTGAGCCCATAACGTTTTGTTGGCAGTTACAAAGGAATCGAACCATTCCAGGTTTTCTTAGGTGGTGCGAAACGGATTTCGCCAATCCACGGTAGGTCTCCTTTTTGGTCGGCTAGTTTGCTTGAAATCGATGGGTTCAAATGGTTTGGATCGGGTTTATGCCAACCATTTGCCAGGGAATCCCATCATCATTTTTTCAAGTTTAGGCCACCTAAATGCTCAGAACCTGCGGGCATTTTTTGGTGTCACGCCCCTTTATTCGGTTTGGCAGAGGAACGTCTTCTGTGGTGGTTGCCACATCCAGATTCTAGAAATAACTTCCCCATTCTTTCCAGGGATCCTTCTTTCTAGAAAGCCACCAAAAACTGTGGGAAAATGGCGATCGGTTTTTGAAGAAAGAACGATGGTTTAAAAGAATGGAAAAGGAATCACCAGGGATCCTTCTTTCTAGAAAACCTCCGGAAACCCAGAGAAAACGGCTGTTTGGTTAAACAGAATGCGGAATATCAACCCCTAGAGGTTAGGCAGGGGAACCCCAATTTTTTGGGTTCCTACCCCGTAGGACTCTAACCTTTGGGGTTCTTTCTCTTTTTGCCACATCCAGATGCAAAAAAAAGAAAACCAGCGCCTCCCCATGTCAGGACTTCCTACAGGAGAAGCGGCCGTATGTCACGGAAGGCATCGTGAGAATTCAGGCGGGCGGAGTGGAGAAGTCTCTATGCTAGGTAACCTAGGACCCCAGCTAGGTGCCCTACCAACTTTTTTGGTTGGGAGATTCGGTTCCCCTACTAAAATAGAGTACCGAAAGGTTGGTACCCTTATTCTAACCTGTCTACTGGAGGACCCAGTCTAGGCCTGGGATGCTACATGATGCTTTCCCCTGGTTACCGGATCCTATAGTGGTGACTGGAAGCACTTGGTTGGGTAGGTTGATTCCCCCTTCTTTTCCACCATAGTTCTTTTCTCAAAAACCAGTTGTTTTTACTGGGTTTCTTGAGGTTTCTAGAAAGAAGGATCCCTATAGGAAAGAAATGGGAAGTAAAATTCACATTATTTTGTGCGAGGTGGATGTTGCCAATCCGCAAGGGAAAAGAGCCCCAGGACTTGTCCCTGGGTTGAAGTCTCCTTCGCCATTCCGCTTGGGCATGTGTCAAAACAGAGGGTGCCCAACAAAACTGGGAGGGACCCCCCAAAATAGGGGGGGCGGGGGCAAAAAAAGAAGCGCCGGGGGTACCCAAGACGTACAAAGGCATAGGTCGCTTAGGCCAAAGGTTTCGATTTCGTCAGGAGGGCTACGGGGACAACAAGGAGGTCAGCGTTTCCCCGGAGGCGGTGCATGCGCTTCTGGGCAAGGCCGGCGCCGGACTCCAGAAGGCTCTCGAGTCGATTTGGCGGACGAAGCCCTGAGAAGCAAGCGGTTACCCAAAAGAAGGTGGCCAAGGCACGTGTTTCGAGCTTGACTGGCTTCTTCCTTCTTTTTCTTCTTTTTTTTGGGGGGGGGCGGCGGCAAATTCACAATCCCTGTTTACCAAGGGGGGGAGCAGGGGAACAGCAAAGCAACCACCAAAACCTGGGCAGAAAAAGTTGCCAAGTGTAGGGCTGTGGCTTTTGGATGAAAGGCGCCCCCTATAAATGGGACGGGCTTATTAAGTCATCAATCCGGGCACAACATTCCTTGAGACGGAGAGAAGCAAGGCTCCAGTAAAATGCAAAGTCATCGCTTCAGTTGAAGGCATTCTGCTTTGTGGCTCCTATGGACACATCTAGATCAACACAATCTAGTCCGGGTAAAACCCCAAAATAAACACCCAGCCCGTGAAATAAGGAACTTCCTTTCACACAATTTGCGAGTTTCCACAAACGGGTCTGGAATGCTTTCGCCAGTTTTTACCCCTTTTGTGGGGGAGGGTTCCCCTACTAAAGTAGAGTACAGAGAAAAGGGTACCCTTATTATTCTAACCTCTCTACTGGAGGACACTGAAAATGCCCCGTTTGTGGCTGCTATCTAGCACCAAACACGTCCATCCCCCTTGGATTTCATGCCTGGAACAATCTAGGGTATCGGTCAAATCTGTCAACTTGGGAGGCGGGCAAAACAGCTGCTCTTGGACAAATCACTTGAAAACGGATTGCCATTTGAGTCACAATTAAAAGACCCGAGTACTTGGAGGGTAGTAAGGGGCAATCCCAGCCATAAACGGGGTGCGGATATCCGCCTTGGTAATTCTTGACATGGTTGTGGGTAGACCATTTAGCGGGTTTGAATATTATGACTCATGTGAACCGATGTGATATTTGTAGATTTGGGGGACGCATGGTTGTGGGAAGACCATTAACCGGCTTTGGCTTCTGACTCAACGGTGGATTTTTGTCAAACCGGGGGACAGAACTGGCAGCTTCAAAGCACATCCCCAGCCAGGAGTTGTCCACAGAGCAGCGTTTGAAGCTCAGCTCCACGGTGATCGATGCAGTGATCAAAGGCGCCGGGAAGGGCTTGTGGCACCCCCACGCCCCCCCCACCCCACCCATGGAAATGATGGACATGAGTTGCATTTTTGATGTTTGGTGTGGCCACCTCATGGAAATGAGTTACAGTTTGGACGTTTTGTGTGTGGCACCCATGGAAATGAGTCGCATTTTTGGACGCGGGGGTTCAATTCCCGCACTGTGACAGCTGAACTGGTTCGGCTGCAGTTAGTTGCACATGCACATATCGCTTTGCCACGTAAAGAAGGGCGCGCGTGTTTGCCGCGCCTGCTTCGCGATTCGCGAGCTTCAGGGGGGAGCCGGCGACACGTCGAAAGGGACTTGTCTAAATCAGCCTCTCTCAGGTTGAGACACGGGCACCCTCGGTCGAGAAAAAAGTGACGTCCTCAAATGCACCATGAATGGTTCAGGGGGACATCTCTGGGCCCCAAATCGATTTTACTTTTAGGCGACCCAGTTGCCCCCCCCCCTCCCCAATTTTCCAGAAGAAAATGGTGGTTGTATTGGTTTTCCCGTGGCCAGACTTGGCATTCGGCATTTCTCTTCTCCTTCACTTCCCTGTACTTGGAACCAAATCCATGTGGGCCAGGGGACGAGCCGGAGGACGCCGCCAGAGACGCGGGCCGGGTGCGGAGCGTCGGAAGCGAGGCCCGTGCCTTCCGGCGGTCGGAAGAGGCTTTGGGAAACCCATGCGACGGTTTGGAGATCCAGTGGGGAAGTGGGTTGGCTAAAGCGGATGTGAGGCAAAAGCGACTCCGGCCGGGAAAAGTCGGGGAAAAAAACACAAAAGAAACACAAGGGAGATGGAGCGAAAGATATGAAATGCAGGAGTAACCCTGGAGAAACAAACAGAAGCGGAGGTGGTTTAGACAGTTTGGGCAATGCGGGAACCCATGGCTTGGGGTTGAATCGATCAACTTTGGAGGCGGAGAATGAGCCGGAGCCTGTCGAGGAGTGGGAAGTCGCCGTTTTGGGTTTGAGAAGACTCGGGAGGACGTTCGATGTGCCCTTGCCGTTTTTTTTGTTTTTTTTTTAAGGGCGCCACACATGGCCAACATGTTGCCAAATATGCATGTTGCAGGAACTATTCACATGTTGTAACCCACACCCGGATGGGCATTTGAGACTTCCCGAATTCTGGGAGAATTACTTTTGGTGCTTGGACCATTTTAGTGGTTTCGCAAAACCAATTTGGAGGCTTTGTTTGTCCGAGTCCCATCCACTCAGGAAGTGAGAAGGGGGACCCCATTTGTTCGATTGTTTCAGGACTTGCATCCCCTTAGCTTTTTAGCCTTTTAGTGTTTAGTGGTATTTTCCAATTTAACCCACGAAAAGTTAGCTGAAAAGGGGTCTGAGGGCAGCCCAGAAAAGCAAAAGGGAGTGGTTTGCTGAGTTGATGGGTTTGGAGCGATTCCACCGATCCTCAAGCTGACCGTTACTGGTGTGTAGTGGCAGAGTCAGGTTGAAGGGCCGTTTCTGGAAATGGGTGTTGCTCAAATTACCCTTGATTCACCAACATTACCCACCAGTTCAGTTGATGGGTGCTTTGTTCCCCAGTATTCATAGGTCATAGGGTTGCGCCCATACTAGTTGGTGCAGGATTTGGTTGATCCACAGTATGCATCCCCTAAAATAGTGGGGTTCTTTCATTCCCTTCGAATACCAACTCCAGCATGTGGAGCAACCCCCATATGGCTGTGGCTCAAAAACATGTACCAAAATGGCAAAAGCCTAAAACCAAGGAAACCCCTAGCTCTTGAATTTGGAGCCACAGCCATATTTATCTCCAGTGTGTTGTAAGACACACCCGGGAAGCTGAACGTTTTCGCGCAGGAGTCCTTGGCTGCCTCCGAGCGGCTTGGCGGCCTCGGGATTGCACCCCAATCCTCCACTTGCGTTTTCGCCCCCTGGAAAACATGAACATATTTTCCAGTACAGTGATAGATTCACGTTAAAACCGACAGGGGATTTTGTTATTTTATTTTTGTTGGAACCTTTACCAAATGGAAGCAATGGATGTGATGGGACAGTGAGTAGGGTTTATCCTAGCTGGTGCAGGATGTTCGTCCATCAGTGTAGGTTAACTTGACCGACTAATTAAGTTGGTCATTTTGTCCAGCCGGAAACTCAGGAAGTTGGCCAATGATACAATGATACCCGCCAACACCATGGCTTGGGCTAACTTTCACTTGGGCAACCTCTTTGCCAGGGGTGTTCCGACCTGAAGGCATGAATAATCCCTCTTCTTTGGTGCTTTTGCTTGGATGTTAGGACTTTAACTTTTTGCCAATTAATGAATTCCATTAAACCACCAAAAGTTAGACTTTTAGCAGGGGAGCAGAAAGCAACCGAGTCTTTGTAGAGGGAGCCCGGTCCGGGGCATTTCAACCTGCATGGTTTCCCTTGCTTGGCAAGTTGCCAAGACAGGGAGCCAGAGGGAAGATTACAAACACGTGCCCCCCCACCCCTGAATTTGAGACGAACCCAATGCATGCATTTGTTTGGAGGACTCGCTTCTTTGGTGAAGGGACTTTACAAATGTGTTGGAGAGACCGACTTGGTCCTAACTTCCAGCGAGTGGATTTATCAGAGAAAGCCGCTGGACCGTCGTGACCGGCTTTTTCTGACCGATCCCCTTGTTGGAAGCGAGTTCCAATCTAACCCGTGCTTGAAACCGAACATGCTTAGAGGCCCTCCCCCATGGAGAAAGGCTTCCCAGCCCGCCCCAAGCATTGCTTCTCGGACAGTGCTGGGGAATTTGGATATGGGCAAAAGCAGCTGTTGGTTGGGGTGCCCGTTTGGCGGCGTTTTTTTCCTCGCAGGGTGAGGCAAAAAAGTGGGGGGGATGGATCTCAGGAGCCTGCAACCGGAAGATGAGACCGAACTCCTGCAGCTCCCGTACAAGGACTCCCTGGATTACCTCAATGATCAGCTGTTTGGCAAGACCAAATCTCTGATACTTTCAAGGTGTTTTGTGTATCCCGAGGTAGGCTTGGACTTCAATCCAGGGGTAGTTTCAATCCGCTTGATATGCCCAAACGGTTTGAAGGTGTGACGATTTGTTTGGGGCAGAGCTCCTCAATTTGGCAATCTCGAGCGTGGGGTGCAAGTTGCGCGATTTGTCGCCTGGGTTTTGTCATCCCCTTTGCTTCCAGGCAATTGTGTTATCTGAATCTGTCTTTTTGCCGGGGGACCCCCCAAAAAACGGTGGTGTTCCCGGAGATGCTTTTTAACAAGAAAAAAAACGGGTGCTCCAAAAAAGGATCTGCGCCCTTGGGTTTGTAGAGTCGGATTCGCGAGCGGAGGTCTGGGACGTTGGCTTTAGGGAATGGAAGGCCAGTGCTTCCGCAGCCCCCCGCGTGAGAGTTCGCGTTCCCCGTTGGGGCTGGCCAAATTTTTTCCACACCCCTCAAAGCGAACCACCTGGTTCGCACCAGAAAAAGTGGTTTGCAAGGTTGGGCCTGCCATGGCTTCGGTGTTCCTTTCGGAACCCCCCAATTTTAAGACCCATCAAAACAAACGGGGCGTCCGGAAAATATCAAAAAGACGAGGGCCATCAAACCGATCGGAAGGCGCCAATTCGGTTTAGGTTCAGCTTGCTGGAGTGCGAGATCCGCATCGCGGAGCACCGGCGCCAGAGCACCAAAGAGGACGTGGGCGTCGAGGCCGGGCTCTGCGCAAACGCGCGAGCGCGCACAAATGCGCGTGACCAATGAACACATGCTGTTGTTTCTCCTGTTGGTGGAAAAAATGTGTTTTCTCCTGAAAATTGCTGAGATGAGCATTTGTTTTCTTCTCCTGTTGGTGGACAAGGGGCACAATTTGCGTGACATATTTCTGTTTTGTTGGCAGGGGGCTGAAGCAAATGGAAGTGGGCCTGTCTTTTTAAACCTCGATTCCTGAGTTCCCAGAGTTTAAACACTTGTTGGGAAGCTCATGTTGGCGATGAATAAAAAGTTCGGACTGGTTTTGGCCAGTCCGCTTAGGAAGTGAGTTAAGGGGGACACACAAAATGGGATCGGGTTTCCTTCTGGGTTCGTGTTGAAGCTTGACGCAGGGGTTGCTACAAACGATTCAGCTGGGATTCCGGAAGCCTCACCTAAAGCGGTGCATGATGGAAGGGGGAAAAGGGTGAGGGAAAATTCTTCCCAGGAGCCTTTCTTATTGAGATCGCGGAAGATCAACGTCTTCGAGCATGAGGCCAAGAGAGACTTGGACAGTTGATGGCAGCAGCAGTTCTTTGGGCTTTCTTGCTTGCGTTTCTTTTGTCCCCCCCCCAAAAAAAAAAAAGAAAAGAAAGATGCCATCCTGCTAGTGCTGGTGGAACATCCATCCCCTGCCAACGATCGGCGCGGAGATCGGCGCATTGGCGCGGGATTTTTTTTTTGGGGGTTGCCATCCGCGCAAGAAGCGCGGGATAGCGCGGGCCTTCCGCTTGGCGCAAATCCGTGTCGCGGATTTTTTGTTTCCCCAGGAAAGCTGGCCCTGGCCCGGATCCACCACCGCCTGAAGCTGACAAAGGCCTGACGGAGCTCCTGGAAAGTCTGGCAAGTGAGGTGGTTGAAGCAGTTTGTAGACATCTGCATGGTTGTCGTTGGGAAACATGTTTTTCCGATTTTTTGCTTATTGCAGTTTAGTGGGACATCCCCACTTAGTTGCTAAACAATATTTTTTTGCTCCCCTTCCAACGTCAACCAAGTCTTGAAAGGTTTCCTTTTGGTTTTCCTTGAAAGCAAACAAAGCCGCAGGTCTCCCCTCATAGCTCCGTTTTCCCGTTTTTTGGACCCAAACTACTTTTCTTTTCGGACCATCCAATAGGTGGGTGTGTCTTAACATTAATTAGAGAGCCCCATTTTTCAACATTCTGGCCTTCACTTAAAGCTAGCCAAAGGAGGCTCCCAAAAAAGACACAAGCACATGTTGCGGTTATCTGAAACCACCTTTACCCGTGATCATTGAGTTCGACCCGTCTCAAGTCCGCCCACAGGTGGTCCATCTTGCTTGGTGTCTTATTCCATCTGGGAGTGTCGTTCTTTAGGGCACTCCCCCCAAAAATGAGCACAAACAAGTTGTTTTCCTGTTGGTGTCCCTTCAAAACCACAGAAAAGCAGCACCTTCAACACAAGACAGATCCATATGGCAGTGGCTTTGTTTTGGCAAGCCAGCCGCGTTTGGCTTCTGGAAAAAACTCAGCGCGCCAGGAGGCGGGTTTGGAGATCCCGCGCTTGGAGACGCTCCTGCAGAAGACCAAGCTCGATGACTTCGAGCGGAGCGTGGCCTTTCGGCTCGAAAGGATCCCCCAAAAAAGCACAGGAGCCGCTTGAGCCACAATCAGAACCTGGGTAGATGAAGGGTAGTAAGGGGCAGTCCCAGACAGAACTAGTTGCGGACATCCGCCCTCTTAATTCTTGAAGCATGGTTCTGGGTAGACCATTTTTATACCGGGCTTTGATTGTGACTCACTTCCCTTTCTGGCTATTTTGTTGGATCTTTGGACTATCCCCCCAAAAAAAGGAACCGCCGGCCCTTCACGGCTTTTTGGACCCTCGGACTTCAAACTTTGTTCGGGATTCGTGAGTTTTCCGAATTGGACCCACAAAAAATAACCCCGGGCAACATGAAGGGCACAACAAGTTGAACTTTTTGCAGAAAGTCGTCGCATAGGGACCGCTCATTTGACATACAGGCCTTGCGTATGCCTAGCATGTGCTAGGCATATATCATGTGCAGTATGCAATCTATATCCAGCATACGCTTTGGCATCATTCTAACTAAATACCTGGCCTGTCCCTACCTAGCTTGGACATTGCTGCTCCAACTCATTTACAGTAATTGAACGTATCAGAATTTCTAGCATTTCTCCATCATAGCCCCAGCATGTGTCTAGCACGTCTAGTGCTTGTCTAGCTATTCCGTCCGCGTCTGCCAGGGTCAGCTTGTTTCTTGGTGTAAGTTCATCTCTTTGCCAACGTCACAGCATGTTGCTAGCGCAAGTCTAGCGTACATTGAGTATTTGGACGCGCATTATTTTTAGCATGGTTTACCATATGTGTCTAGCACATGTCATGTTCGAAAGCATCATTTCAGACCCATGTATCCATGTTGGTTGGGCTAAGGTCTGATTCGTGTTTGTTGTTTGGAAAGCTGGATGTTGTTGTTTTCTTGGGGGTTTTCTTCACACACACACAAACAAACAAACAAACCAGATCCGATGCATCCATGTTGGCCGAGTTAGGGTCTGAAATGTGTGTTGTTTAGCTTTGTGTGGGAAAACCTCTTTTCGTTGTGTGTTCTTAGCCCAATGCAGACTTGCAAGGCTAAGATCCACAACAATCCCTATGTGAAAAGCCCAGCCCCCATGAGGTGCCCTTCTGATTTTTTGTTCTCCCCGGTTGGCGTTAAAGGAATCTGTCACCACTGGTGGTTGAAATTGGGGGATGGGCATTCGTTGGCGGTCTCTGTTCATAGCTCCATGATCTTGGGCCCTGTTTCTGTTGACCCAACATGTTTGTGGGACCTGCATACAAAACAGGGCTTCCGGTCGCTGGTCAATGATCGATTTCTCTCGAGCCTTCTGGCAGGTTCCATGTTAGGTGGTGGGCGGGCATTGCCATTTTCTCATACCCCCATAACCCCCCCTCTGAACCGCTCACCCACTCGCCCCAACACACCATGTCCTTTGTCTATCTGTCTGCCTGCCTGTCTGCCTGTCTGCCTGTCTGTCTGCCTGTCTGTCTGTTCGTTTGTTCGTTTGTGCGCATGCTTGCGCATGCTTGCGTGCGTGCGTGCGTGCATGTCGAGTGTGTGTGTGTGTGTGCGCTGTGTGTGAGTTTGTTTGTTTGTTTGTTTGTTTGTTTGTTTGTTTGTTTGTTTGTTTGTTTGTTTGTTTGTTTGTTTGTTTGTTTGTTTGTTTGTTTGTTTGTTTGTTCGCTCGCTCGCTCGCTCGCTCGCTCGCTCGTTTGTTTGTTTGTTTGTTTGTTTGTGTGTGTGTGATTGTTTCTGAGTCTGGCACATCCCAAAAGGGCACCAAGCACCCAGGTGGTGATGCTTGTGGGCAACACCTTGTCCCCGAAGATCCAGGCAAAGTTCTGTAGCGACGGGCTTGCGGGCAACCATTTTTGAAGCCAGCAGGGGGCGATTGAACAAGCTCAAAAACGAGCTGATCAAAAGGATCACCTTGCAAAGCAGGTGCTTGTTGGATGCATCCTTTGAGGAACCTGGTTGCAAGAGGGTTGTACATCAGTGGCACAAAGGATTCAACGTCACCTGGGCTCTTTTGAACGTGAATTTGCTTGGGGTGATTTGTAATGCCGCACGAGGTTCGATCAATCTAGCCAGTCGTTTCTGGTCGATTTGGGAGATGGAAGGATTCAGTAAATGTCTTTTCCCGCGAGTGGACTCACGAAGACCACTACTTATGTCAGCTGCGTTCATTGTAGCTTCCTTGAAGAGCTCGGGCCGCGGCCTGAGTAGTCGCTTTGGTCTGGTTGCCCGAAGTGGGGGCCCCCGATTGTAGGCCTACCCAGACTTTGCATGACGAGCATGCAACCCGGGAAGACGGTGTTCCATGCCGGCTGGTGCCTGTTGGCACCAAAGATCCAGAAATCATCGCCAGACTCCTTCCTCGCCTCGTTGGCTTTTGCTTTTTTGGTTTTCCTCCTGGCTGCTGAAACTCATGGGGATCTTCATTGTGTAAACCAATCTGTGTGAATGGTTCATCCAGTTGGCGGGTTTCTGCCCTTTGAAGTTTAGGCAAAATGGAATGGCAGAGGCTCCCAAAAGCATCTGCACTTTCACCCCATCCTCCTAAAAATGGAATTGGGGAGGGGGGCAACCCCCAGAATTCCATTTGTGGTTCCATTGTCCCTTTCATTGGGCAATGATGGCAATGCTAGGTTAAGTGGAATTGGGGGACCCCAAGCCCCCTCTCGCCCAAAGTTAGGGGAATCCCATTAACCTCTTCAAGCGAGGAGAGTGCCGAGACCGGCCCTTAATGGTATTTCCTGATTTCATCGACCAAAAAGCGTGTGCCCTTAGAACCCCATGGCCACTGGCGATTTGTCCCAAGAAACATGACGGATTCTTTAAAGGGGGTGTGTGGGCCCGAACTTATTTATGGACACCAGGCCCCCCTTTCCGTTTTTTTGCTGAAGGGCCCGGGTCACCGTTTCCTGGTGGGGCGGACAAAAAAGTCAACCGACCTGCCAAACGAGCCTTAGCCAATTTAACAAGAGCAAACCCAGCTGTGGATGGTCAAGGTCCTGCACCAGAGGGACGAAACCCTCTTACTGGGAAAGACGCTTACCAACTGGATGCCGAGCGCGGATTTCCTCCATCCACGGTATCCCTTTGACTGACTCGAGTCTCAACCAGCCGTGCATTTCTTTTCGCTTTGCGGCCCGTCACGGCCCGAGAAAAACAGATGGCAGGCCACCTTGAACGTGGGGGAGCGGCGCTTCTGCGTGAACGTGCCGCTCCAGGCACGGCTTGAAATGCGAAACGCCGCCCGTGAGCGCGTCACTGGTGACCAGTGGGACCCAAAAGGGGCGGTTCACCCACCTGGCACGTTTCTGCAAGTCTGAGTTGTTTTTGTCTTATTCAGGCTTATTCGGCCCCATTCAAATGGGCCTTACTTTGCAACTTGCTTAGTTGTCACTAGAAAGGCGTTTTTTTTTTCCCGATGCTGGTAGGCATAGGTGGCCTTTTCGGTCAGTTGAGTCTGATGATCATGGATTATCACCTTATCAATGAACCCTATTCTCATATGGCAGATTAACCATTACCTACAGCTACTTGCGAAAGTGGATGGATTCCGCAATCACTTATCAATCGCCTGATGAGCTGACTTCCATGAAACGGACCAGCCTTGGACCCAGAAAGTCGCAGCCAGCTCTGGACCTGCTTAGCTGCACATACTGTGGATGGACGAAACCCTGCACCACTTTGAATGCACTGCTTTGAAACCATTGGAAACCATTGTTCGTTGGTTTTTACAGGGGACTCATTATTCCAGGGTTTCTTGGGTGGTGCAAGATTTCGTCCATCCACAGTGTGGCTTTCCGAGTCTCATCAACCGCCATTGGGGATCATCTCAGGTCCGACTGGGATCCGAGTTTCCCTTTGAACCCCGCCGGTGGCATCCGCCGTTTTGGCTTCGGAAGGTGCGGGTGATCCTGGAGACCTTCTGCCGGGATTTCAAGGAGGAGGTGCGGAGAGTCATGGATTCGGAGCTCCCAAGATGGTCAGTTTTTTTTTCTACTTGGATACCTTGCGCACGCTTTTTTTCGAGCGCACCGATTCGGGGGCATAGCGAGCTCACCGATTCGAAGGTCCTCTTGGGGATGCCATAGCGAGCGCCGCTTTGGACTCATAGAACTTGACAAATGGCTGTGGCTCAAAAAGCCGGTAGCAAAATGGAACCCTGGTAAGTGGAAACATGGACCAAAACCTGCGGTTTGCCCCTCCTCTTGAATTTTGAGCCACACCCAAATGTAACATGGTTTTCCTCTTGGGGGATCCCCCTTAAGGAAAGTAGCCCTCCAAACCCCCGGCCTCCAGTGACTGGGTTGCACCTTCTCGTCCTTTTGAGTTTTGAAAGTAACCTGAAAGGGAAATGAAATGTAACGTGGGTTCCTTTTCGGGATCCGGGGCCAAAAGGAAAACAGTCTTCCACCCCCCCCGGCTTCCATTGGGGGGAGCCCACGTTTGTGGTCGTTGTGTGGGGGTTCTTAATAAGTTCCACAGCTGCAAAAAGGAGCGCCGAGCCGCGCCAAAAAGACCCGAAAGCGCCAGGTGCAGAAGCGAGTCTACTTCTACAAGTCCGCCAGGTTGGCCAGCCGCTCCCTCAGCAAGCTGCTGCTGGCACCATGTGTCGTTGGCTTCCCAGACGAATCTGAGCCAAACAACTGAAGCAAGTTTACCAGATGTTCAGTGGGTTTCTATACACATGTATATATGATATATACGTACACAACTCAACCAGTCTTTGAGGGACCCTGACTCTTGCCAAGAAACCATCGTAAGAATCGTAAGCGTTTGAGTGGACGGGCTTGCATTGGTATGTTCTCCCGCGCGGGAAGGCAAAATTGAACGGCTCTTCTTCTTTTTTTTTTTGCGGGCCGCGGGGTAGAAGCTATGATGTTTCTACTCAGACGCGTTCTTACGGCCTTGACATGATTTGTTTCGCCTTAGAAGAGGTGACCCGTACAGGGCGTTCAGTTCGGGCCACATGGTCCAGTGCCCCTTGGGTTTCCACAAGTTTCCAACGAGACCCTTGGCCCAGGCTTGCCATTGCTTCCACAAACTGTCCAAAGGGGGAGGGGGGTCCATGTGCATGTTCAGGAGGTTTGGCGGTGAAGAATCCGGTAAATCTGTCAAGAGCTGCGCAATGAGCAGGTTGCCCATTTCATCCTTACAGCTGTGTACGCAAATCTTGCCGATGAATACTCATCGGAAGTTCAAACAAGATTTTTGAAAAAATTAGACCCCGATCCAATTTTCCTCCAAAAGCTATGGGGGTCTCTGCCGAGAGAAGCTCTGGGCGGTTTGGGCTTTCAGGGTGGAATCAAAAGGAGGATGGTGGGTTCCGGGGCTTGGACTACCAATCTTGGACTATTTGGGAGGAAGCTGTTAGGTTCATGCAGGATTGAGGAAATTTAGACCCCGATCCAATTTTGCTTCATACGGAAATCAGTCAGGATGTGTCCGACAGCATCCCAGTTGCTTTTTGCGGCCACGGGGCGGCTGAGGCGCCGGCATCATCCGCATCGGCGCGGGGGCGCGGTCGGGGGACCTCACGGGGCACACGGTGCACATCGACCGCCGGATCTTGGACTTTGTGGTGGGGCTGGACACCGCGCCTCCGGAGAAAGGGAGTGAATGAGTTCTTGAGGCTAAAAACTTAGCTTTCAGACCGACAGCAAGAGAGGAAACCACGCAACCTGAATCTAAGCAGAAATGAAGCTTTTTTGGGCTGATTTCCCAGGGGGGTATTTGATTGGGTCCAAGCGGGTGTAGCTGAGGAGATCAACGAGGTGGTGGAAGGGAGCAATCTCTACAAGCCGACAGCCACACTCGAGCAGCTGGTGTTGCCCGAGGATGGGTTTCCTTCACGACTTGGTGTCTGTTGTTGGGGACCCCCCCACCTTAGGAATAGTTATTTTTGTTTAAAGCCCCCCTTACCATTGGGAAACGGCGAAAGGAAGGTTCTGGCCAGGTTGGCGTATACCCCCAACTGCTGTTCAAAGGCAATCCGCAACATCCTTACCTGGGGTTACGCAAGGGATCTCCTTTCTACTCCATTTTGAGCAGCCCAGCCATAATACCTTGTGGCCCCCCCGTGCAACTAACCGAAAGGAGGTTCCCTGAAAAAAAAAAACACCCTCACCAACAAGGTTCCTAAAAGACATGGTGACATTCTCCTGACTTCCTTTGAAGGAACAAGGGGTCCACCATTTGCAAAAACATCCTCAGAAAAAGCTCGAACTGGTTGAAATAACAATGCAGGAGAAGCAATGTTAGGCCTGTGAAATTGGACCTAAGTGCGGTCACTTGCGATTACCAGGAGATGAAGCAAGGCATCCTTGCGCTGGTGGACAACTTCGAGCAGCGCCTTGCAGGGATCTGTTCAAAGATCTAGGATTGGCCATTTGTTTTTATTATTTTTTTGCGGCGGGAGCCGTTTCTAGCTGGGGCATGGCAAAAACCCAACGGCGCCTGAAAGTGGGTTTGCCTTCCTTTGATTCCGTTGGAAGGGCAGAAGAACCCTTGCCCTCTGTTGCCACACCTCCCATGGGGGCTCTTAGACCTCTTGGGAAGCAGAGGGAGGGAGTGAGCGGGAAACCATAAAAGTTCTCGCAATGGGGAACCCAGAAAATGAATGCTTCCCCCTTGAAACCCAAGTTGTGTTTTTCTGTTTTCTTTTTTTTCGCGTGGCGCCCTTTTTCCTTGAATTTATTTTGTGGCTTCCCTACAACTACTAGTCATCCCCATGTTTTGTTTTTTGTAAAAAAGAAGAACAAAAACACTGAACCGGGAAACAATTTAGGAACAGGTACCTGAAAAAAAGAGAAGCTATGTGCACATGTTACTTTAGCACCAGCCGTCACCTTTGCAAGAACATCAGGGCAGGCAAACCCTAGCGAGGCTTTAGTAGCGCTGACCAAGTGACCTTCCTCGGGCTCCATGATGCCCAAGGTGACTTAGGCCCACTGATCAAGTCCACTGGCCAAGATTATGGAGGCCCAACCACTTGGGTAGTACTTGGGTGCCTGGGTGGCTGATTTGTATGACATCCCCAACCTCAACCTTTGTTGTTTTGCAGGGGAGGCTTCTGGAGGAAAAGATCTCTACGCCCAGATCACCACGTTCACAGCGGGGACGAGGAACATGCCGATGGACAGCGTGATAGTTTTGACACCGACCATTGGCAGCCCCCTTGCCCAACCCCCCATCTGCCAATTTTAAAGCGAGCTTACCAGGGAGTTGATATGAGTTAATGGAGCTTGCCATGATGGACGGTCCTTGACTTGTGGATCATTGTGGATCCCTTGGGTCAGGTTCGCAACCGTCACAATGCGGATCATTGGACCGGCAGACCGCGAAAGTCACCCGAGCAATGTATGGGGAATCCCATCAAGTGGAGCTCAGGTTCTGCAAATATCGGACATCCTCTGGCCTGGATGATGTCATCGCACATGGGTCATTTGTCGGCACGGATGCGTAGCCATAATTTCGAGCGTAGCGATCTCCGGAGATGGAATGCTCGCATGTTCCCTTTGTTCTGAGTAGCTCGCATTTTCGGAAACACGTATTTTCCCGACAGGAAACCGCAGAACCGCATTTGCTGATTTCCCAGATCGCCCGCTTATCTCACTGGCTCGTTTCTCTCTCCTGAGCCCATGTGTTTTTGGTTCTGTTTCTATGGGTCTTTTGAAGGTCAGCTAAGTCTCTCAACCTACTGTGGATGGACGAAACCCTGCACCTAAGAAAACCTGGGATGATGATTCCCCTGTAAATACCAACAAACAATGGTTTCAACCATGGTTTCAAAGTGGTGCAGGATTTTGTCCATCCACAGTACCACCTGAATGTGTTTTTTAGCCTACCTGCCGTGGCAATGCCCTAAATCTGTGCCCCCAGATTTGCAGAAGTTGAAGATGCGCCGACGGTATCAGGGTTCTTCCAAGTCACTCAAGAACTTCTGGGTGTGTCTTAGAATGAGGGCCCATTGGAGTTTTGTGTGGCCTGTTAATTCACTTCCTGAGTTCCTGGACTTTCTACTTTTTAGGAAGAGACAATTTCTGGCTACTCAGAAAGGGCCTATTCCAGTTGGTTTCCTTTCAAGCACGCCCCAACAACGTACCATCCAAGGAGCTGGGGCCTGGTTAGGCCTTTCTCTCTTGGTTGGGTTTCAAGACATGGACGCCTCGGACAGCCTCGATTCCTGTCTTGAGCCCCCAACTCGTTGCTTCACTATCTCTCTCTTTTTTGGTCTGACACATCGCCGTTTGCCCAAACCCCCCCACCCCACCCCAAACTTGGTGAGAATCAACTGATGTTTTCAGGTTGGAAGTCGGACCCTGGTCGTTCCCAGTGACTCCCATTTCTGGGGTTTACCCCCATCTAACGCAGAAGCTGCCAGGAGGGGGTGTCCTGGAGGAGCACATTTTCCTGAACAGGGCTCCTGAAAAGATACATTTTGCCCATTTGAAACATGGCTTTTTCCACCAAAATAAAGGGAACCCACCATTTACGTGGCAATGTTCAGGTGTATAATGTAAGGATCCCTGGCAGTGCCTTAGCTCTTGTGCTCCGGCCTGGGGGGGTCATGTCGAGCGAGGACTTCCAAGAAATTCCTTACGCATGAAGGACGCCTGTCACGCCTGTCTCTCACAGACTCCGCTCACGCCCTGAGTTCAGGGACTGTAGTGACTTTTTGAGTTGGGGCCATTGCAGTGGCTTCTCAACTTCGGTTGGGTTTAGTTCAGGCACTTTACTTACATCGTTTTTCTTCTTCTTCTTCTTCTTCTTCTTCTTCTTTTTGTTTCTCTCTTCGCACTTTTAGTGAAGTGGCTTCACAGAAAGTTCGATTACTTTTTTCCCGGGGCTGTGGGAAATGGAACCCACTTCTATGATACAACAAAATGGGCTTCCCGAAGACTACCCCCCGCATAAGGGGAAGATTCCCAAAAGTATCACAGAAGTGGTTGGATCAACTTTCTGTGATCAACCACAACCCTGCATTTTTTGGGGGGTTCAGGCACTTTAGTCACTTGTAGGTTTGGGCCAACTTTTCGTGGCTTCACCAAACCTTGGGTTCCTTTTGGCCAGTCCGCTCGTCCGGAAGCGTCGAGGTCGGGCCTGGTCCTCATGTTCTGCGGCCCCAGCGGCACGGGGAAGACGCTCATGGTCAACGCCCTGGCCGCCCACCTCCGGAAGCGCGTGCTGCTGGCGCCTGGGCGCCAAAAGAAGCGAACACCCGAGAGTTGCGGCGGCAGCCGGAGGTCTCGGGCAAGGCAAGACTCATTTTTGGGCGGTTTCCATCGTTTGGTCTCCCTGAAAACCCCCCAACAGAGGCCCCTCAAACAAGCAATCAAACAAAAAAGAGAATGTGCTTGTATAGACATAGAAACAATATCATATAGTATGGGCACGCATGCAAGTGCTGTTCCCACGCGTGTAAGGTCTGTTAAGCACCTTTCTGGTAATTAAGGGTTTTGCGAAAATTGTCCTTTCAGCAAACCTTCCTTTGCACTTGCATTCAGGTACCCCTTAATTGGTGGTTTGGATTCATGGTTGGGGATTTGAACTCCCGGTTCTTCTTGGGATGCGTAGGAAACCGCCCGAATCTTCAATCCACGAATCCAAACCACGAATAGGAAAGAGGGTAAGCCTGAAAGGGTACTCACTCCAAAAATGGGTTGTTTCCCGACGCCCTTGGGTCCCTGAAGGATAAAACCAGGGCACCAGGGATACCGGGGAACCACCCCAATGCGCCGAGGTAAATTTTAAGACCCTCTACAGCCAGAGCCATGATGCTGGTGCGCCGGAGGAGGAGGGCAGCGCGCGTCAGGATAAGGGGCCGGAAGATTTGTTGGGCTTAACTGTCCAATGTAAAGTGCGGGTACTTTTTGAGGGGTTCTCAAGATTCAGCTTGGGCTACAAGTGACAAAGCGAAGGGGCCCACTGGGCCCCAAATCAAAGAGCACCAGGACGCCTCAAGCACAAAGGTTCTTTCTGAGGGCTGCGCACATTCGTTCAAACCTTGACCGATGAAACTACCCAACACAGGAACCCCCCCAATCTTGGGGCAATCTTCGATGTTTTTGGGGCTGCTTTGATGGTTTGTTCTGAACTGGATCCTCTGACACGATTTTGGCGCGAGCAACAGGCATGGGTTTCTGTAAACTGTCCCTTTTGGCTTGGGATCGCATCAGCCAGCAGGGTCGCATCAGCCAGTGGTTTTTTTTTTTTTTTTTTTTTTTTTTTTTTTTTTTTATGTTTGTTGGTTCCCCTGTACGGTCTACCATGGTCTACCACAAACCAGCACTCCCCAAGTGTCTTTTTCCCATGTCAAAAAGCAGTGGTTGGGTGCTGGAAGGAGTGGCCATTCTTGGCGCTGGTTGCGTAAGCATGGCCAACCCCCAGCTCATTTTGCGACCGGTACCGTAGTACCGCGGTGTTTGGGCTTCCATCGGCACGTGGGTGAATTCAGTGCCAAAAGCCTATTGTTTTCAGTTGAGAGAGGGTTCCTTGGAGCTCAGGGAGCCTGAGGGAAGCCCCCCCCCCCCCCCCATTTAAGATTCCATCAGCCTATGTTTTAGGGCCTGCCTCGAACAATAACTCTTTATACCAACTTTACTCTAATTGCCTACAAACTTTACACTATTTGTTATACAATGTTTATACGAATTTCATACCAATTGTCGACCAATTGTTATACCAATTTGATATTAATTGTATACCAATGCTATACCAATTGTGTACTGGCAAAAGTCCCGAATTGAAACAACATGTATACCAAGAAAATCAATTGTTTACAAATTGCATACAGTTTCCAGAAACATCTCCAGCCAAAGGGCGCAGATTTCATACCAAGTTGGTATACATTGAATATAAACATGTTAAGCAAGATTGGTACAAATTTGTATAAACTCGTATACATTTGGGGGTGCAACAATTGGCATGCATCTGCAGTGCCGTGGGGAATCTTCTAGGTTTATACTAATTTTGCGGGCCAGATTTTATACAAATATTATTCCAAATTTATACAAATTTGTATGACATTTGAGCTGGGTTTCCCCCTCAAAACGAGCGGCCGGACTCCAATACTAGAAGTGGCGCACCCTGATGTTTGACCCCAGTGTTCAATCAAACTCGTCAGTTTCGCCACCTCCCGACGTGGTATGAATTGGTAGTAGCTCTGCCCAAATTCGTGGTAAGTCTGCCCCCCAAATTGGTATAGATTTATCTAAATTGGCAGTGACACTTGATGTTGGTCGAAACGAAACAGCAAACACGCATCCGCCAGCGAACTTGCGAGAGAAGCTTTGTGCTGAGACAGACGCAAGAGCAGAATGAACGCAAGGCACAGGGGACAAACAGCCGAATGGTTCATGCCATGAAGAAGCAAAGATGCTAATTGTCACTGCAGAGTCTCAAGAATCGAACGCGGCAAGCAGGCTGCTCGCCGTCGCATGTTGCTTTTTGTGTGTGTGTCACTGTGTGCGTACGTGTGTTTGTGTTTGCGTGTTTGTTTGCTTGGTATTCACGGCCCGCCCGAACTTACCATTCTGAACCCAGGCTCACGCAAGGAAAAAGCGAGAGAGGGAAAGTAAGGAGGAGCAGGAGTCGCAAGATCGTGTCTTCGTTTCGTCCATGCATCTGGTTGGCCAAACGTCTGTTTGTGTGCTTGTTTGCTTGTTTGCTTGTTTGCTTGTTTGTTTGTTTGTTTGTTTGTTTGTGTTTTGCCTTTGTTTGCTTGTTTACCCGTTCGCTCGTTCGATTGTTTGTTTGTTCGCTTGTGCGTTTTCTTGTTTGTTTGCTTGTTTTGTTTGCTTGTTTGTTTGTTTGTTTGTGTGCGAGCACCTTGGCTCCTGGCACATAGGCTGTGCGTTTTTTCGTGCGCAGCAGGTGTGTGTGTGTGTGTTTGTGTGCTTGTGTATGTGCGCACGCGTGATTTGTTTTTTTTTGGGGGGGTATGTGTGTGCGCAGTGGAGGTTTCAGCAACAGGTCACACAGCCGCCATCAACCGCCCCTCCCCCCTGCACCCACCCCACCTTGCCCGCCGAAACATATCAACACAACAAGTCGTTGAACATGAGCAAAGCACCGATGTTGCGGTTGCTGGCACGAGCTGGAACAAGGTAGACCCAAAGGTCCGCAGGTTCTGGGCGCCACCGGAAAACTAGGACGGCTCCAATGTGCTGAAGCTTTTCCGCGAGGCGGTGGGGGCCCTGGACACGAATTTCCGGAGGCCCGCAGGTCGAGTCTGGGAGGGTTTGCCATTGGCTCAAGCAGCCCATGCCCCAAAGTGTGCGACTTTTCAGCAACCAAACAACCGCACGAACGAATCAACAAACAAGCGCACGAAGAAAACAGAAAGCCAACGGGGGACGCGGTTCTCTAGTAACAAGCAAAGCAAGACAGAACCTCAAGGGCCAAGGGGGATGCGATTTTAGCTTTTGGATGCCTTTGTTTCAACAACAAGCTTGGTTTTCCATTCAAAAGCTGAGTTTGGAATCCCCACCCCCGGCTCCCGGCTTGGACCGAACGGGGGTTTTCAGCTGCCCTCCAGAGCTGTTTTGGGTGTGTCTTCCCTGTGTTTTCGGGTATCCCTTGTTGTCAGTGTTTTACAGGCCGCAGTTTGAGGATCTGTTGGCAGTGTGATACATGTACTTTCCTCTCATCAAGCATTTTTTGGGCGGCTGGGGGCGAAGGTTGACCGGTGGCCTAAGGAGATGAGTGATGCAGTGCTCTTCTTTGACGAGCGCGGGCCTAAGCTCATGAGCAGGGTGTGGGCATGTCGTCGGGAACCTTCGTGTCGGGTTCCGCGAGTTTGAACATGTTTTCAGGAAGGCAAAAAGTCCGTTGTAGGGGAAGCTGCAAGGGGGAACACTTTCTTTCAAAATGTTTCTCCACCCCAGGAAAGCTTCTTAGAACCCTGTTAGTGCGAGGCCTGCTGCCTTTGGGCACTGTTCGCATCAGGCCCAAACACGGAGTTTTTTAGCAGCTTCGCCATCCAACTGCCCCCCAACTAGGTTGGTCTCAAAGACCCCGGAAAATAATCAGCAAAAGGTTTCTGAGTCTAGTGAGGCAAAGTCAGGGAGGCTGCAAGAAGTAAAGGGGCCCCAGCCCCAAGCTTTTGTTGACCTATTGTACCTTCAGGTTTATGGGCAAACAACCAGGTTGGGGGTCGCAAGAGGGAGCCCGCAATGCTCGCCTAGTTGAGCGGAAACACACTTTCTCAAAAAGTGCAAGGTTGGTCAAACCAAAGGTGAACCAAGTGGCTCGCAACCCTCAGGATTCTATCGCACCTCAACCGCCCCCGCCCCCCTACTGAGGCTCTAGTGCGGCCCCAGTTTTTGAATAAAACATGTACGGGAGGTTGGCGAGATTTTGGCCTCTAACCCCCCCCCCCCCCGTGCCCGCTTCCTTAAAAACAGTGGATGGACGAACTCTTTGTCGCACCCTTCAGAAACCCTGGAACGCCCCGAACCACGAACAATCGTGCTGATTTCCACCACCCACAATATACCCAACCCCCCCCCACCCCTTTGTAGGGCCGAGTGCTTCATTTCGTGCGTTTTCCCTTAAGGAACCCCCCCCCCTTAAAACGCGCACAAAACGGGGGGGGGGGGGGAAAAAAAAAAAAACAAAAAACGCTGAACCCACGGCGCCCGGTCGCCGCGTCGCCGCTCCGCGCACTCGGACATCGGCAAGCGGCGAGGTGCGAGTCCCTCTTCGCCCAGCGTTCGGGGGGCGGCAGCTCGGAGCTCACGGCGCTGCTGACGGCCATGGAGCGACGCCCGGCGGTTTACCAAGGAAACGGCGAGGGCCAGGTGGGTGGCACAGGTCGGTTTTTGGAGGGAACCACGATTTGTGGTCCATTTGCTGAAGTGAACATGTGTGTGTGTGTGTTTTCCCCTGTTGGTTTTAAAGGGAATCGATTTCACTCCTAAACGTATTGTATTTCCTCAGTGGACTTGTCTTTGGGGTCATTCTGTTGACCGTTTCTGGGGGCTATCCAAGTCAGAAGCTAAAGATGATTGATAGTTGTGAAAGGATGGGGCCAATGGGTTGCGACGGCCATGTGGGTGATATGTGGGTGTGCCTCTCTTTTTTGCGGGGATTTCCCCTTGTTGGTCGGTTTGATTGAAGGGAAGACAAAAAGGACAGCAGGGTCGCAAAAGGTAGCGACAGCAGGTGAGCCACGTGCTCAAAACCTGGGTAGGTGAAGCTTTGTAAGGGGTAATCCCAACCAGAATTGGGGTGCACACGCCTCTTCTAACTTTAATTCTTTGCATGGATCTCGGTAGCCCCTTCTATTATCAGGTTTTGATTATGACTCATGTGGGTGTTTGTCAGTTTTGCGACCTCATCCAGTTGCGCGCTCGGGTCGGTCGGGAGTTTCCGACTTGGGGGGCTTTAAAAAACGACATGCTGACCACGGGTGGGCAACAAGCCACGTCTGCTCCAAGCAAGCCACGTCGAAGTTTGCAAACTCCAAACAACCCACCCGAAACTTTGCCAGTTGTCTTGAAGTCGCCAGCTTCAGTTGGCCAACTCCAACTGCCGCCGGAAAATTGAATCCGCCAGTTGCCCGTTGCTTGCTCAGCCAGGCCACTGACATAGAGACTTGCATCCGGTCGAGACAAAGGTGTGTCTTTGGTCGATGGGTGGTAATCTTAAACGGAAGCAAAGAGGCAAACATCGCCCAGGTTTCAGGGTCCCAAAAGGCTTTTGGGTGATGGATTAATAGTTTCGCCATCCAATTTTGGTTGATGGCAATAGTTTCACCATCCAATTTATTTCGAGGGCCCCCAATTTTTCGAGGGCCTTTGAGCCAGAGCCCTGTTACGGCCTTTGAGACATCATCCCATCCCAGGATATCAAGGCATCATCTTCTTGGCCACCAACCGGCCTTTCGACCTGGACGAGGCCATGTACCGCCGCATCACCTCCGTCTTTACCTTCAGCACCTCGGCCTAGCGGCTCCCATCTCAAAATTGCAGGGAACATAGATAGGGTGGACAGCAAAACACTGACAGAAACATAGATCGAGGTCCTAGGTATAGATACCACCCCCGCCCAAAGGGTGGTCGGGGTGGGGCCCGTTGGCTTTGAGCCAACCAACCTCAAAAGGCTACCTGAACCACAGAGACTTTCAGATGTTTTGGTCAGGGACCCTACAGTCAGACCTTTCAGAGTGAGCCAGTCGACTGAGGCAAGCCGGACCACCTGCAGCGCCTGGAGATTTGGAAGCTCTACACACAGCAGCTCGTTCGCCTGGGGCTGGCTGGATTTGCTCGGCTTTCCCACGGAAGCCGAGGGAAACCCGTTGCCCCACAAGGCGAAAGTCCCCACTTTTGGCTCATGTCTTTTTTGACTAGATCCAGAGTGAGGTCCTCCAAAGTGTGTTTTTCCCCAAAGGGTGGTCTAGGGGGAAAGCACCTGAGAATGGGTCCCCAAGAAAAACAAATGAAAAACAGGGGAAAGCACCTGAGAATGGGTCCCCAAGAGGGGGAAACAACATAGAGAACAACGAGAGAGACGGAGAGAGACAACCCCAGCGTCAGACTTTGACCGAGGACCGGGGTGCCGGTGGCTACGGACATCGACTGGGAGAAGATCGCCCTGAAGTTTGCGCTGACCGGGGGATACATCAAGCGACTCGTCCATTGGATCGATGCAAACCATGCTTGTGGGCAAGGCTGCTGCGCCTTCCTGAAGGGGTTTGTTCCACACATTCCCCTCTTGCAGGCAACAGGCCTGACAAGCTGATATCTATGTTTGACCCACACCCTCCCCTTAAAATTGCATAACAGGGCTTTTTTTAGTTAAGGAGAGGGTGTATTTGACCCTTTGAAGCCTTTGCCACCCTGATGGTCGCTAGTGGTCACTAGGTTGCAATGGCGCTCCTGTGCGAGTTGGCTTGAATCAGCCTAGCTGCATACATATATATATATATATATTTGTATATCTGGGCACTGGGCAAATGATGAGCAGCTTACTTGGACGTAAAAAAAGAGCTCACCAATGATGCGGCCCTGTCACTTTGATGCACGGCAGTGCGCCCAGATGTTTGGGGGGAACCCCAAAAAATATGGTTCGAGACATGAAAGATGCTTCACCCCTGAGGCTGGCAAACAAGGTCCAGGGTCAGAGAAAAGAAGAGAGGAAGCAGCTTTTAGGTTGGTTCAAGTTTCGACTTCCCTGGTTTTAACATCACCTTTTCGGCCATATCAATCCGAGCTGTTGTTTCAGGGTGATGTTTTTGTTGGCTCCGCTCAAGGCGTCGCCTGCAAAAAACCGACCCGAGGAATGCCATCGTCAGCGCGCTGCTTTTGGCAATCTCCAGCGCCTTGGCACGGGTGCAGGGGAGCAAACTTGGATGCTCAAGCTACTTAGTTAGTTTTATAGCCACGTCACTGCGAGCTAGGGGTTGGTTGATTTACCGAGGATCCAAGAGACCGGCGACCTATGAGTTTGAGTGTTTCTGGACACATGTCGCTTGACATTATGAAGGTCCCTTTAACTGTTTCCTCAGTTCCAGCTGGTTTGCCCATCAAACATGGTGGTCATAAATTCCCCAAGGGCAGCCACGTCCTAAACCAAGGTAGATGAAGGTTAGTAAGCGAGCGCCTTTCTCATTCCTTACATGGTTCTGGGTAGATCATTTAAATACCAAGTTTTGATTGTGATCCAAATGATGTCCACCAAATGGTTCAATCAATATCTATTTCTGCAGAGAGACTCCTGAGTTCATGGATGAAACCGTACTGTGGATGAACGGATTCCCCCGTAAATACCCAACAAACATGGTTTCAACCACGGTCATAAATTCATGGGTGCGAGACTCGGGGGTTTTCGCAGCCATCCACGGTGCGAATGGGTCCAGCCGCATATCTGGGAAGTGGATGTGGACCCAAGTTGCCACCGCAGCTCCTTGAGCTCGAGGAGACAACACCAGCCCGCAAGTCAGCGAGGAGGACATCACCGGAGGATGCGTGATGCAGGTCCGATTTTTGTTCGCGGCTGCAGGGTGTTTTGTTTCTTCTTCTTTTTCGATGCCTTTGCTTGAGGGGGGGAGCTTTTTTTTTTTTGGTGGTGAAGGGATTTGGGACCAAGAACCTGGCGAGTCGAACACACTTGACGCCCCCCGATAGTTTGCCGTGTTTTGGGCCTTAACTGCACTCCTGAAGGGCTGAAGGGTAACATGGTACGCAAGAGACCTTCATTTGTAGAGTCCCCCTCACCAAAATCCAGTTGCCCAGTGGCACCTTGTTTTCCTTTCCTTTAAAACGGGTTCCCCTTTCAACTCAACCAACCAAAAAAGCATGCCCTTATTTTCCCGTGGCCACTGGGCCTCTGAAAAAACGAATCACAATTCACCAGACCTCACGCCCGCCAACCCACTTGCCCAGTAATTCCGCCCTCTTTTTAAACTTTTTTTTTAGGGGAAGGGTTCCAATTTATTTGAACTCAACCAACCAAAAAAAGGATGGCCTTCCCCTTAGCGGGACGGGCTGATTTTTAGCTTCGGCCGGGATGTGGGCTCCACTCACTCCAATTGGGGGGGGGTGGGGTCTTGAGCAATGTGGCGGAACCAACCAAAAAAGGATGCCCCTTTTTTTCATGGAAATCTGCTGGGCATCTGAGAACAAGATTCGGCAGGTGCGGGGGTCGCTGCAGATGCAGAGCTTCGCCAAGCGCTTGGTGCCCCGTGCCGGGTTGGACTCCCTGGTGCTGGCGCCGGACCTGAAACAGCGCCCAGACTAAGGTATGGCTGAATGAAGGGTTTAAAAAGGTATGGCCCCATCAAATTCCGTCATACCCTCTGCCAGACTAATGCGGGGTTTGCAAGGTTTCGTTGGGTATGACAAAGGCTAAGTCATTAGAATGGGATTGCCTCAGGCTTGCAAGGGAATAGTGCATGTATGCAAGTAT